CTTGAATTTCATCTTGTCCTTTTGGTAGATCAATAGCATAGATAGGAGAGCTGTAAAATCAGAAGTTGAAAATAAACATGTTCTGGTTTCTCTTTGTTAGCTGAAATATTACAGAATACCAAAAGAGTTGCTCCTCCTGACCTTCACGTGTCTGTGGGAGGCTCAGGTGTGTCCACCCCTGCGTGGAGGCCGTGGCAGGGGAAGGGTGATGGAGGATGGCCACACACAGCACACCTGCAGCACTGAGCCTGTTTCCTGAATCCTGCCAGACACGGGGTCTGGGCAGCTGCCATAGGAATGTTCCACAGGGGAAATCGTGCCCTGAGGCACTGGTGCTGTGCATCTGCATGCAGAACTGGCTTGGCTGTGTGTCTGTCTGCCCTCTCGTGCATCTGCACTGTGGCGGTAAATCTGCTTGCAGCGCTCTTGCTTCCTGCCATGGGAGTGCTGCCTGCAGCAACTGAGAGAGGAGTGAGGGAGAACCACTGCAAATGCCAGACAACACCTGCAGGTGAGAAAAACCTCTTCTTAGATGATTGACTCAATACCAGAGGTATGCAAATGTCAAGGAGACAGGTCACGTTATGGGACTAAAATGCTCAGAGGGAAGGGAGCAGTCTCTCACCCCAGAGGGAACTCTTGCAGATGTTGGAACAAATGAATTGGCATCTGGACCTGTGTGGATGCTAATGCCTCAAGTTTAATTCTATGATTGTTCACTATAGCAAGATCTGTTAAAATGACAAAAATAGATTCATCTTGTTTACCCTGATGTAAAGGCCCAGGTGAGGATATATTTTTGGAGACAGACCATAGGTATGACTCAGAGCAAATTAAGAGGAAGCTCTCAGAAAAAGACTACAGAGGCTGTCGTGCTGCTATAGCAACTGCCAATTGCCTTTGTGTAGTAAAATGTAATGCTGTTGACCCAAAGTGGCAATAAAGCTTTGCCTTTCCTTCACCTGATACCCTGGCTTACTGTAAATGATTGCTATTGCCCTTGCACAGCACAGGCCACCCCAGTTGTACTGGTAGGCACCAGGGAGGAAAGTCTTGATTTTAAGTTGCTTACAGTATTAATAAAAAATAATTTTGAGAGGGGAACAAGTAACTTCTTACCCAGGTATTTTTTTTTAATTGGTGATTACATTTTTTGTAAGAATTTAACTTCAGAGTCATTTTTGTTGCATTCGGAAGGCATGGATATGTATGAGAAAAGAGCAGGAAATTCACCGGATCCAAAACTGAATAATAGTGTCTATAGGCTTGGATTTGGACAGAAACACTGGTGTGTCCAGCTTGCTTCCCTGGCCCATGTGTTCAGCCTGTGTGGTTATAGATGCGGGACCCTTGGGAGGGGCGGCAGCTCAGGCACAGTCTGTGCCACATCACATTCCCAGCTGAATGGGAATGGCTGAACTGGTGTGGTAGCACCTGGCAGTGCAGAAACAGAGGAGGCCTGTTCACCTCTGTTCAGATTAGGGCAGTTGTACTCTGGGTTTCAAGCATGGCTCAGTTAGCCGGGTTGTTACTGCTTCGCTGCGGAGCAGAGTGAGATGCAGATAACACATTCCCCTGCAGTGCCGAGCAGGAGTCCTTGGGAGGAAAAGCCTGCCCAGGGCTCTCCCTCTGCCTGTGAGTGCAGCTCACAGATTCAGCCAATGAATGGAGTGCCTGGTCTGTGCTGCGCTAAGGTGAGAGCTGTGCAACCTGAGGCCAGGGTCTCCTGGGAAGATGGCAGAGGATAGCCCCATGGTGACAGGCTGTGCCCTTGTGGCTTTGGAGGAAGGGGACTGAGAGGATGTGCTCTACTTCCCACAACTCCAGCTGGTGCTGCCATGTCCCTGTCAAGTGACCCTGCAATGTTAGGGAGCTGACATTACTTCCTGAAGGTCCCCACCATGTCAAAGCTATGGGAGCAATTTTCCTTGTGTGTGCATGCACACACATCAGCACAGACAGGAAGGTGGCATTTCCCTGCTCTGCATGTGCATGATGGTTGCCAGTGACCCCTCCACCACAGCTCTGCTCAAGGGGCACCGTCCTGCTTTTGCTATCATTTGTTTAGTAAGGACTCACGCTGTAGCTCTTGTCCCAACCGCAGCTTGTAGGACTGGAAAATGCAGAGGCAAAGCAGGGTCCCTGAGTGTCCCTTAACAGGGATTCCTGTGGGAAAGTGTGGTGAGGGTCTTGGGACAAGGGTTCCTTGTGCAAACCTGTCTGATGTTCGAGAACATCACTTCTTTCTGCCCGGGTTTGGGGCCTGGTTTTGGGTACTTTTCCCTTTTCCATCCTTGAGCTTCAGCTCCCCTCCTTCCCTCCCAGCCTTAGCAGTGCCCCTTTTTCACCCATATGTCTTTGAAACTTGGGTTATTTAAAAGAGCCTGTACTAGAAATAAACACAGAAGAACAGCACTGAGAGCTGTAATACAGCACTCTAGGTAGGCAAAAAATGTCAGCAACGCAAGGAAGAAGCAAACAGAACAATTAAGCATGGAGGCATTACTTGCTTCAAGGTTTTGCTCTTTGCCATGCCTGCAAGAGAGCAAACAGCACCCGCTTGCTCTGTGGTCGAGGGCCTGTTTCCTCTTCTCCCTGGTGTTCAGCCTCGGGCTTGGAGACCCCTTGGGTGGAAATGTACACGGGTACAGAAAAACTTTTGGAATGGGTTTTAGTTAAATCTTAGATGAGCGTGGTTTGAGTCTGGCTCCTCCAGCTGGTGTGAGCAGCACGTGGGGTGCAGGCAAAGCAGAGCAACACCTGTACTGGGTGGCCTTTAGACACGAGCACTTGCCATGTTTTGCCTCTCAGGGAAGCCTGCCAGTTCAGCTGGCGGGGGATGTTTTACTGCGCCCACAACTGCTGCTTCTGCCAAATAATCCAGGACATTGTGTGTAAAGACACGTGCACGGTACCCAGATAAGCTAAAGGCAAAGGTCTGGTGTGTCAGAGATCAGTGCTTAGTCTGAGCATATTCTGGATTCCTCTTCGTGTTTATATGGAGGTTGTCTCACCTCTCCTTGCCGTCTATACAATAGGTGTTTTTGAAAAGTAGAAGGGTCAGAATTTAATCTGGAATGCCAGGAAGGAGGGTGTTGTGAGGAAGCCTGGTATTTTTGCTTACCCATACCTCCTCCAGCATTCAGCCTGTTTGTCACCCTCAGAGGAGTCCTAGCATAGCCTTCATTTTAGAGATGACTCATTTCCTCTCCTGTAATGCTCTTACGTACCAGCACTAATAATACTTCCACAAGTGGAAGTCATTATTACAGAGGACTGCTGATAAACTGGCTCATTCTACCTTGCCTCTCAGATGGTATCACAAACGGCAGCCTCAATGTTTTATGTTCTGCTGGAGAGAGTAATTTTGCTTTCTACCCCAGAATTTAATTAACTTCCAAAGATGTTCCTGCATCCATTTGGAAACTGGTAGCATTAACCAAATAAACCCACACAGTGTTTTCTAAAAGACATTTGTTCCTTGAGCCTTTGTTTACTGTGAACAGTCCAGGGCAGGGTCTTTGCTGTCTCCCCTGTGTGTCTGTAGGAGCAGCCAGGAGTGTCGCACCTGGTGCTGATAATAAGGCAGTAACATGATTCACATGATGAGGGATAAAGGCTGAAAAGGCACCAGGAATCACTTTTCCAGGCTCTGGTGCTGGATGTAAGTCTAGCACTCCTCACAGCATGTGCTTTGCTGTAGAGAAAAGGACATGACTTTTGGCTCTTTCCTGGTCCTGACATGTGAATCCTGAATCCTGATGTCTTTCTTTCAATGTGAAGCCATTTTTTAAATGGCTGGTGGGAGAGAGAGGGATGTAATGTGGCTGGTGACAAATGTGGCACTGGATGATCGTGTTGCTGTTGTAGCATATGGCTAACACCAGCATGGGAAGGATGTTATTTTAAGACCCCTCCTTTGCTAGTGGAAGCGTGAGAAGCAGAACAGTGAGCCGTCTCACACAGCAACTGAGCTTTCATGGTAGACAACAGTTAACCTGATTTTTATATTAAATAAAAAAGGAAAAAGTTTGCTTTGTTTTGAAGAGCCTTCTTTGCCTATGTCTGGCTACACTATCTAAAGGGAGGAGGCTGGAAATAGAAAGGAAATGCAACCTCCAGGGACAGCCTGGCTGATTTTTCTCAGTCCTCACTGGATGCTGAGAGCCTGCTGCTAAGGAGCAGAGGATGTCGACACAGTGGGTGCCCTGGGCATGGCTGGATGAGCTGCACCCCTTAAGGATGCTGGCCAGCTTTTCCTCTTGCCTCTGCTTCTGTTCCTGAACTGAGAATGCAACATTTCCCCCCAAAAATAGTGTTGCTCTGCTTGGGAGCTAATTAATGGAGTCTTTGCTTAAACCTCTGGGGTCCCGAGCAGGGAACAAAAGCCTTTTACTGGGAAGTTAGGCAGGAGAACTGGTACTTCATGTTGCTTGTCCAGTTCTCCCTCTGCTGCCTCACCAAGGATGCTGAGGTTGTAATTTAATAACCACAGGGGTGGTGATCCCAGAGGGTTTCCTGCAGCACCTCGTGCAGTGGGTGGAGTGGGAGCTGCTGGGAATGGGGGAGCTGGTGCTGCATGCAGCTGGGAGGGACATGGCTGGGCAAGGCAGTGATTCAAAGATGGTGGTGGGAAAATTTCTCTTATAGCTGTTTTCTTTGAAGGAGAGGGGGTGTGAGGGATAGGGAGGGAACTTAAACTTCTCTGGCATGGGGTGGGAGCCAGCTGTCTGTCTCACACTGTCCTGTATTGCTGCATCTCGTCAGCCAACCCTCCTTTTGGTCCCACTTCTGATCAGGTTACCACACGGTGCAGTAAAACCACTGCTTCCTTCGCTGACTGAGCTAATGGAAACCCCTTCAATAATTAAGGGGATAAATTCTGCACTCGGAGGGGTGGATTTTGCAGGAAAAAGCCCAGAAATACAGGTGGTTGTTGGGTGGGCTGCATGGGGGTTGCCTGTGCTGACTGACAGCCCTGTGGCCTTTCCTGTCCCCAGATAGTGATGTACATAGGCCAGGTCTCCAAGGACATCCTGAAGTGGCCTCGGCCTCTCTCACCACCTGTTGTCAAGCTGGAAATGAGGACGAACGCAGAGTATGGGATGCCTTCCACCCACGCCATGGCAGCCACAGCCATCTCCTTCTCCTTTTTCATTGCAACCATGAACCAGTACAAGGTAAGGGGTACAAAAAGAAAGGAAGGAAAAGAAAATATATGTCTTTCAAAAAGCATGTGTCTGCTTCCAGCAAGCTACACAAAGCTGGCAAATCCAAAGCTGTTGCCACTTCCAGAGGAGCTCTGTATTTATTTTCACACATATGTATGTATTCTTTCCTGTTGTTACCTGTAGCTGGCCAATAATAGACACAAAAAGAAACTTAGTGGAAATCTCCTTTCTTTAGCATGAACTGTGGGCAGGCTGCACTGCCCTGCCATGGTTTGGTGAGTTCGCTGTGCTTTCTCACATGAGGTGACCATGGAGGGAAGGTGCCCAATGCCAGCATTTTGTGCTCATCCCATGCCCGCCAAGTCACTGCTGTATGTCAGGACAGGCCAGTTCCCAGGGAAACCAAGGAGCTCTGTGTCACCTCTTTTTTGTATGAAAGGAAAAGCATCCTTGGAAATCCCCTGGCTCTAACATATGTTAGACTAACAGCATACAACATGATTTGAGAGCCTGTTTGCCAGAGAAGTAACAGCAATTTCACTGCATTGGAGCTGTAGGCTGCTTGGGGATGTTTCATCATTATTTTCCCTCATTATCTTTCTAAAAGGTTTGTTTCGTAGAAACTCATTTCTCCATGATGATTATTTTCATTTCATTTTATGAATCCAAGCATGCATTTCCTCTACTCTAGCAATAATAACTTCCTGGCTGCATTGCACTTAAGCATGTTTCTCAGCCCTCTCAAGTGTATTTCAGGGATAAATGCATGTAGCCAAGAGGGCTTGCAGTACAGCCAGGGGGGTCCTGCTGTCATCCCCCCTGCAGTGCCAGCCCTTTGCAGGGAGAAAGGTGGCCACTGTTCACTGTGTCCTGGGACTGCAACTCATAGCAATGGGGATCTCTGTGTTACACTGAGATCTCTGAGACAATTTAACTTCCAGACCCCTCTGGTCCCAGCTGTGAAGTAGCAGGCTTTTCTCCTGCCTACAGCATGGGGACAAGTGAGCAGGTCAGTCGTGCCCAAAGCTGTGCTGCCAGCCCCCTGCTCCCTGATCACTGTGTGGGAACTGATCAGAACAGCTTGACAGTGGGATGGGGACAGGAAGCCATAAGATGGGATATTTGTCATCCTTGGAAGACCAGATCCATCCCATGTGTCAGAGCTGCCAAGAAGACCTGGTCAGCAGCACCGTCTCCTCCTCCTTAATCAACAAGTGACCAGTGGGACACGCAGCTCTTCACAGGCTGCCTGGCACTTCTTGGAAGATGCCATGAAACAATAAAACTGCTGTCAAATAATTAAATGATTTAATTGCCTCTATTAGGACAGAAAAATCTTCCAGAACATTATGCTGCTATCTTCTCAAGCTGCCCTAAATATCAATTACTGATCTGGACTAGCTCCCAGGCTGCTCGCTAAGGGGGGAGTAAAGTGGGTGTAAATCCTCTGAAGGCTTAGAGAAGCGAGGAAAAGTGGTGTTTTATGAACTGGGAGTGACATCTGCAGCTGGGTCTGGGCTCTCTATTTGGTGGTTAGAATATGCTGGGTGAAAGGGTCAGAAGAGAGTTGTTATGCTTAAAATTTCCACTGATGCATTTTTGCTCTGACCTGTGGCCACCCTGGTCAGTTGGCAGCCTCTGGCAGAAGATGGAGACTTTGTGTCAAATTGGGTGAATTAATTTCATTTATTTGTATTTTGGGTTGGTTTATTTTTTACAGAAAAATCTCCTTTTTGGACTGAAAGGAACCCAGCAGCCCACTCGGTTTCAGGATTTGAATGAGTGGATTAAGGGCTAATATGTTAAGCTTATTCTTTACCAAATGTAGGAGGTTTTCTTCCTTTTTAAATGTTGACTTATTCAAATGCTTCTTTCCACATTTGCAGGCAACTTGGAGAGGGAATTAAGCAAAAACAGCTTCATAAGAAGATGATTAAACCTTTAAGGGTCACGGGGAAGAGCGGTCCTGACTGCTCTAATAGCCGGATTGTGGTTTCAGCCCAGACATTGATTCTCCCCTCTCAGCCCACTGCTCGAGGACTATTGATCACACATCTGCTCAGGCTCTGGGGCTGTCACGATCCCCTTGGCTGAGCTGAGGCTGCAGTGCAACCTTGGACATCGGCTGTACATGCTGTGACTTTTTCCTTAAGGTCTTTAGCACTAACTTGCTAAAGGTAGATATTGTAAGGGAACAACTCTGCAAATGCCATCTGTTTCCCAGGATTCCCCACACTGAGACTATATTTTTGCAAAAGCAGCACCACAGGTAATGAAATTACCTTCTAGCAGGATTGCACGTTGGTTGATGTGGGGGTTTTTTTCAGGTCAGATGAATCTCTTTGGGAAAGTACAGGTCAGGAGCCACTTCCCAGCACGACATCCTTGCAGAGATCCTTAGGTCAGTCCAGCTGCTTGGTGTAATGGGTGTATTTATTTTCATTTTTTTCCCTTTTCACAGTATCCATTTGAACTCGGCCTGGTAGCAGCGTTTGTGTTTTCGACCCTGGTGTGTCTCAGCAGGCTCTACACAGGGATGCACACAGTCCTGGTAAGGATGCCCTGCACCAACCCCATGCTGGTTGTGCCTCCAGCTCTGCTTTCCTACAGCAATTCCCATCTCCCACTCTTCAAATGATATGTGACCTGCCTTGGCCTTGCCACCACAGATATATAAAAGTTGTGCCACTGAATTTCAGGCTGTGCATTCAAAGGAGCTGTGAGGAAACCCTCAGGCTATTGCTATTTGAGTGCACAGGGGAATGATTTATAGCACTTGGAAGGCACAAGTGTGCGGAGGTTGAGGAGCCGGGTGAGGTCGGGGTGGCATCTCAATTGTAGTTCTCTATTTTGAAATTTTAATTGTGAGGAATGTACTTGGGTAACCGATGCTGATCCTTAGCTCAGTCTTTTGTGCAACAGTATCACTGTTTTCAGCGAGAAATACTCGGGGCTGGTTTAGGCTGGGAGTGTCGGGGCAGGAATAGCAGGTTGGTGAGTCACGAGGGTAAACCATGGCAAGTTGGGGGCCTGGGGGACAGCAGGTCTCCTGTTACCATACAAGGGGCACTTATAAAAATATTATGACAAGTTTTTTGTTTTCAGCTGGAAGGAAACTAATTCTTAAAGGACTAAGATGCGCAAATACTTTGTCTGAAAAAAATCATAAAATATCTGTGACTTTATATGACAGATTTGTTGGGCACAGTTGCTTAGAGACATCAGTCCTGTTTTAGGAACAGATTTCAGTGTACCTGTGACAACACAGTAACTGGTTCCTTCCTGATGAGAGCAAACACTATTTATCTGTTATATATAGTGGTCAGGGTGGTGGTCCAGCTTCCCAAGTATAGATAAAAAATCCTGGCTACTTCCCTGCAGGAGTTTGATATGCATTGTTGGTTGCATGTGCATAAATAATTTAATCTTTTTTACTAAGCAGTAATTATGTTTGTAATGAGACTTGGTGACTGTAAGAAAGGGAGCCCTTATGAGATTAGGGTTAGCTATAAAATATAGCTTGACCTTCCCTTTCAGGCCTAGTGGATCAAAACAATAACTTACATCGAAGCTGGAGACACCCTTTCTTGGCTAGTGACCTTAAGTCAATCAGTAAAAATTCTTTGCATACTTCTCTTGCTGGTCCATTATAATGAAAGACCCCTCTAAATTTAGATGGATTTTAGGGTAAAGAAGAAAACGTCCTTTGTGCTTTTGACATGGTAAAAAAGAGCTTTAAAATAACCAAAAAAAAAAGCTCCTTAGTTGACGTGGAAGCAATGCTGCCTTTCAAAAGGGCAAATGTACTTTGCTGGGGTCTTCATCCCGTATGTGCCGTGGTGGGGATGGAGCTGGGGAAAGGCCCAAAGATCACAGCTGCCCAAATGCAACCCCTCTCTCTGCAGCAGTGTGCCACCCACAATGACTGGTTCTGGTGTCCCACCTGCAGTGACTGGTTCTTTGGGGGAACAAGTGCAGTTCAGAGCCATTTCCCACACTTAGAGGGATGGCTCCTGCCCTGAGCCGTGTGCGATGCCACGGGGATGAGGTGCAGCAGCTGCTCAGCCAAGCCATTGACTGGAAGAGCCTCTGGATTTTTAACTGAGGTTTTAATACAAAGGATATAATTATGTATTAACCATCATATTTTAGTAAAGTAAGTGGATGGGTAACATATATCCACCAGCTTGGTGTAACTGAATTTTTCCTGTCTGAGACCCACAAGAGGAGTGACAAGGAGGGTTGCATTGTGCTTTGCTACAGCTTAGCTCAGGTGCAGGAGCTTGTCTTCTGGAGTCTCAGCTCTACAAATCAGTTTGTATTTCAGCACCACTGGTCTTGCTTTTAAATCAAGAGTGGTCTCAGAAAGCACAGTCATGTCAGTAGAAGAGATGTTACCATTAAAGACCTTCTGGAGAGGCAGTAAGCTGGTATGAGAGCTATCTGCATCATTATAGCTGTACCAGAATGAATACTATGCTTAGGGAAAAGGGAATAAACACCCATTGCCTGGGCTGTTACTGGGAGAACATCACCCAGCCAAAGAATGGGGTGGCAGCAATGCACTTGCGCTGCTTAGAGGTAAATTAGTTACAACAACCCACCTTCACCGCCCCAACAACAGAATGTCCCACGTGTGTGGAAAGGCAGGGTCATTTCTTTTAGGTCTTAAATGATGGAATATGAAGGCTTGGCAAAGAGGGAATTGGAATTACCTGTAAAGGCCAAAGCAAAAATTTGGACACATTTTGAAACAGTGAATCTGTAACGTTTTAGGGGTTATTTTTATGGAACAAAAAGCAATTGGAGACAATAAGACTGGTGGTTGTTTCATTTGCCCTTTTCACCAGAGAACTGTATTTTAGAAAACATCCCTTTGCTTGCCATCTTAAAACATTGGCCCAGTTTTTGGTCCCTGCCTCAGTGCAGTGACCAAGTTTTCCTGTCTCAGCTGCTGAAGCCTGTCCCTCCAGAGCCACAGCTGATGTGGTGAGAACCTCACTGGTACTGCAGCTGCCCTGAGTTACAAGCAATAATTCCCTGTGCTGGCCAGCATTGTGTGCAGGGTACAGGGAGGAGTAAAAAGGTCGCTTTTTATGACCAAAAAGAAACGTGAAAGTTGTTTCTCTAAACAAAGTCAATTGTTTTTCCCCCAAGATACACCAGTTCAGTGTTGATGCATTTACTACTGATGACACTGTGCTCAGGAGGGGGTGTTCTGGAGCCTCCACCTTGCCCCTTTCCTGTGCTGTATTGCAGGTTTTTTAATAGTACCATTAATCCTGAAATTATCCTAAATATTTTAAAGCTGATCAACAAACAACATATGCACATTACTTTACACACTGTGCAGTACAGTCCTTGGGAGGTGAAATAAAGTAACCTTTAGGAATGGAAACCAAATAAGATATTTATCTTTAGGAGACTGGGTGGAGTTTCAAATTAAATGAAAACATGAAGGTAACTCAGGCAATAGGTGACCATGTACAAGACAGAATGGGAAAAGTGTGATTTTTGCTTTGATTGGCAATGTCAGGGAAGGTGCTTGAGTGCCACCATGTTTGGTGGTTTGTGCTGGTTTGATATCCTGAGGGATTTTGTGAGTGTTTGTAATTCCAACTGTAGACTCAGTGGGAAGAGTGTAGGAGGGTCTCACCTTCAGAAAGCTTTTTCAATCCTAAACCAAACTGTGCTCTATGACATAGTGAAATAAAAAGCCAGCAAGAATGGCAGCTGGTGACTCACGGACCCTGATGACAGGCAGGGAGCATCTTGAAGCCCCCAGTCCTGCATCCCAGGCATCACCTACAACTGGGTGTTTGCCTCTGTTGTTTTTCTGTATGTACCTGGTGCACAGCAAAACAATCTGAACGAGTGCAGCATTAGAAACCCCACAGTGGCCTGTTCTTAGGGCAGCAAAGTAAACTGGCAGCTCTCCACTTAAAATCCATGAGAGCGAGGCCTCCCTGGTGCTGAAAAGGGGCAGATGTTTGGTGCTATGTGGGAGCAGGGCTGAGCTGCAGAGCAGTGGGGGGCCTTTTGGGGAGGTAGATGGAGCCTGTAGATGGCTTGTCTGTGCTGAGGAAGCTGGAGCATCCCAGCAGGGGATTTTAAGCTTTGCCAGTAGTACTGCACCTTGAGCAAAATTCATGCCTGCCCTTATTTAAAAATTCCTTTATAATTGTGGGCTTGGCGAGAGGCTAATCTGTTTACACAGGCACACAGGAAAGAATGTGCTTCCTGGGAGTGCTAACAGCAGCTCCACCCCCGGGAAAAACTCGGGTCCTGCTCCAGGGGGCACAGCAGGGAGAGTCCAGAACAGCAGTGTTTCTCGCAGAAATCGGAGCCAACCCTTCTCTTCCCATTTGCTCCTTAGTTTAACAGGCAGGGAGGGAAATAATTAATTCACTGCTAAATGTCTGTATAAAGTGTTGGTCTGGAACACCTCTGTGTGTTCAAAAATTCAAAGCTGTCCATGCACACCAGGACCGAAGGAAGTCACCACAGACTGCCGTGGTTGGGTGTGTCCTGAGCTTTCCAGCACCTTCTAATAAGATTTAAGCTCCTAATACATGAGAAGCCCATATATTGGTGGATAGGGGTTAAAAACAGAACAAGCCACTGGCCTCCAAACTCTTTTGTTCAGTAAAAAATTTTGAACATACACCACCTATACCTACATATATATTTACTTAGAAATTGCATACATGTACTACTGTACTGATACATATGTTATAAAACATGCACAAAATAGATTTTAAAAAGGTAAGAGAAGGATAAAATAAACAGTATTTGAAAAGATATGTATATTTTATTTTACTTATTAGTGGTGCAAAAGGTATGTTCTTGCCCCAGCCTGACGGGTTGCCTCGTGCACCCCGTTTGGAGACCACTGGTATAAGCCACTGGTTGGGGCAGAGCTGGTTATCTGGGTCATGCTTGAAAACTACAGGAGCTGTGTTATTGTACTGGGGCTGAATGGGAAGGATAATAAAATTTAGAAAACTTTAATCAGGTTTGTAAACAGACACTGTCTGCAACTGGGTTGGGAACTGCTGGAGTCGGCTGGGTAAATCTGAGCAAAACCTTTGTGAGGGAATGATAATGTTTGGTTACATCTCTTTAATTGGAAAAGAAAAGCATGTGAACAGCTTTTGAGTTTACTCCTTGATCACCCATAGAGGGATATTTAGAAGGACTTTTTCTTCTAATATGAGGTGGACAAATAACAGGGTGGGAAATAGAGGTACAGAGTGGGGATGGGATTTCTGAACATCAGTCCTCAGCTCTTTTGTGTTGAGGTACTTACTTAGTGTTGGGCCAAAACATGCTTTGCATGTAAAGTTATCATCTAAAAATTTATATAAAAAGATGAATTATTATGAAATATGGACACCTAATAGTATTTTACATACTAGCCATCAGTGAACAACTTTGTGTATTTCCAGGGCTGTCCTCATGTTATGGATGAGGCAATAAATGTAAGTGGAAATTTGTATTAGGAATATGCAAAATGGCTCTTGAAGTTGCTTAAAACCAAACATGCTGTGAATCTATTGCCTGAAAGTTGTAAACAGCTGAAGTTCAGCCATACTGGAGTAATGCATTTACCAGAATGCCATTAAATATTTCTGTTGTGAAAAAGTCCCCTCATTCCTGCCTAACTAAAAGTGAAGTTTGCATAAATAATTAATTTTCAGACTGTGACCAAGCATGGTAGTATTCATACTGCCATGACTTGGTGAAAAAGAAACAACCCTGAGAAGAGGACATTTCTGTCTGTGACTAACTTCAGCTTTTGCAGTGTATTTTGTGGCTAGAGTACTAACTCTGCTGCCTCCGAGAGTAGCACAGGGAACCTTGTTTTATTGCTTTTTACCTGGCTGCTCTCATACACATGGCTTTTGTTAGGGTTACCTCCTGTCTCCTTTCCCAGCTTTGTAGCTGACAACAGTCAAGTTCTCAAAACACCTTATTTGCCTCTGTTAATAAATTAGGGTTTAACTATGTGCTTGCTTCAGGCACTGTACTGAAAGCTGGACTTCAGTGGCTTGGGCAACAAATTCCTTCTTGATGTATTCCTGCCTGGCAGTGCCTGCCTCTTGCCAAGGCTGGCAGAAATCGTGGCACACGCACCACGTCCCACAGCTCTGCACTTTTCATCCCTGGAGCTTGTGTTACCAGGATGGGAGCTTGTCTCTGACAAAGGACAGCATCTTCCCATTTATGCAAAGCAAGTGAATGATAATCCTGCTGATGTGATGAAATTACCTGTAGGATAATGGGAGGGGAAGAGTTTGTGTGAAGGCAGCTTACTGCGAGGTTGTCCCTGAGGTGGAGCTGTGAGCGTGCCTTTTCCATTCAGGTCGTAGGTGAAGACTGCCCTTAAAACATGAGAGTGGGTGAGGGGGAGAATTTCACTTGTTCAGAGGAAATGTATGTGTCCACAGATACATGCATATCTGTATGTATCTGGGTTGGGTTTTGTTTAGCACAGGCTTCAGGTTGTCCCTGCACATCATTGTGAATTCAGTGTGTTCCTCCACTGCTGGGCACCCGCCAATGCAGATACTGGTCTTTTATCATCACTCGAATATCTTGTTTACCTTCCAGGTCTCACAAAGTTCCTAAACGTGATTTCTTTGCAGGATGTGATCGGCGGAGCACTGATCTCGGCCGTGCTGCTCATGCTCTTGTATCCTGCGTGGGACACGATAGATCACTTGCTGTTAACTAGTCCCTTCTGCCCACTGCTTTCCATAGTTGTGCCTCTTGTCTTATGTTACAACTACCCCAAACTAGACTATTACAGCCCTACTAGGGGAGACACCACTACTATCTTAGGAGCAACAGCTGGAGCAACTGTGGGATTTTGGTTAAACAACCAGTACGCTGCACCAGTCTATGCCAGCAAAAGTTTGGAGCTTGGATTTCCTCTGATCATCAGCAAATTGGTGGTTGTGCTAGCCAGGTTCTTTGTAGGCATCTTAGTTGTTCTACTGACGCGCTGGCTCATGAAGAGCACGGTCCTTGGTGTGCTGGGTTATCGGTACAAGTTTCCCATTCGTGACCTGGAAGCCCGGAGACGACTGGAAGTTGAAGTGCCCTATAAGTTTATCACGTACTCCTCAGTTGGCTTCGTGGCTACTGTGATTGTGCCGCTGCTGCACGAGCTGTTGGGGCTGAAGTGAGCTCAGCACCTTCCTCACTGAGCGACGGGCGGCACCACCACTTCAGAGACGTGAGAACTCCATCAAGGCTGGTAACTTGACCAAAAACTGTTTTGTGCCTTTCTGCACTGGTGTGGTGGGTTAACTCTGGCTGGATGCGAGGGGCTCACCAAAGCCGCTCTATCACTCCTCAGTTGGGCAGGGGAGAGAAAATATAACAAGAGGGTCATCGGTTGAGATAAGGACAGGGAGAGATCTCCCAGCACTTACAGTCACAGGCAAAATGGTCACGACTTGGGGAAATTAGTTTAATTTATTACCAAACTAATCAGAGTAGGAAAATGAGAAATAAAACCAAATATTAAAAACACCTTCCACCTACCCCTCCCTTCTTCCTAGGCTCAACTTCGCCCCCGAATTCTCTACATCCTCCCACCCACCGTCACAGGGGGATGGGGAATGGAGGTTACAGTCAGTTCATTACATGCTGTTTCTGCTGCTCCTTCCTCCTTGGGGTTCGGACTCCTCACACCCCTCCTCTGCTTCAGTATGGGGTCCTTCCCATAGAAGACACCTCTCCAAAAACTTCTCCAATGTGAGTCCTTCCTGTGGGCTGCAGTTCTTCATTAACTGCTCCAGTGTAGGCTTCCCACAGGGTTGCAGCCTCATTAGGGCATCCCCCTGCTCCCATGTGGGATCTCCACAAGCTGCAGGTGGGTCTCTGCTCCACTATGGACTTCCATGAGCTGTAGAGGGACAGCTGCCTCGTGTGGTCTGCGCCACAAGCTGCAGTGAAATCTCTGCTCTGGCACCCAGAGCACCTCTTACTCCTCCTTCTTCAGTGATCTTGGTGTCTGCAGAGTTGTTCCTCTCCCATATCTGCAATCCTCTCTCTGGCTGCAGTTGCACAGGTTTTTTCCCCCCTTCTTAACTGTGTTATCTCGGAGGTGTTGCCACTGTTACTGAGGGGCTCAGCCTTGTCCAGCAGTGGATCTATCTTGGAGCTGGCTGGCACTGGTTCTGTTGGACACAGGGGAAGCTTCTGGCACATTCTTAGAGAAGCCACCCCTCACTACCATGACCTTGCCACACAAACCCCAACTGGCTGACTTGGAGGAGTCATGGGAATTGCTGGGCACAGATAACTTTGGGTGAGAAATCGCTGCCCCCACTGTGTCCTATAACTAGAGAGCCTTGGTCCAGATGGCTAAAGATGACAAGCACAAAGCCAAAATCCCTCCCAGAGTGGCAGCAGTGGCTAGTTTGCCATGGGGTTGGGGGTGCCAGGGAGTGTGGTTGTGCTGCTCCCTGCCCAGCTGTGGGCCTGTTCCTGCTGAAGCAGTAGAGCAAGCCAAGGAAGGGCTCAGGTTTGGGGTATGGGAGAACAAGTGACTGGTGGTGTGGGAGAAGGACAACCATCCAAGAGGGAAGTGCCATCATCAGGCAGAGCTCACAGTGTCTTCTGATGGCACTGCCAGAGCTGGCTAGTTCTTTGTGGATGCTTTTACCCATTACAGTTCAAAAAAACCCCCTAAACATAAAAAACAAGGAAAATCTAACACAAAACATTTTATGTGATTTGTAACAAATTTATCTTGGATATTAGTAAGAAAGCCTCCACTAAGAGATCATTTGCCCACATACAACTGAGCAGAGTTATTACCACAACACTGATGTTTGTGTTCAAACTGTTTAACTCAGATTAATCTCCCCTGTCTAAAAGACAGGGAAAAGTCCTTCCTGTCATGCAGGGATGACAAGTAGTGTCCATAAACTGCGTTGTGGAAGGAGCTGAGTAGTGACTCCAGTGACTGCAACGTGTGGCAATAATAGGATGCTATCATTTTCTAGTGCTGCACAGCATCACAGTTGGTCTTCCATGCATCCTGCAATACTGTTTGTACATTTGTAGAATAGCAGGTTAGGAGTGTTCATGGGAGGGTCATCCCTATCACTCATGCTGCTTATTTAAAAAAATATATATCAGCAGTTGGACCAATGAGCTGTTGAGAAATACAGCGGTGAATGTGGTCTGCTTGGCTAGAAAAATATTACCATGCTATCGCTGCAGAGCTTCAAGCATGGCCCCCGTGCCTTTCCTGGCAGAACGTACAGTGAGAGCCAGCTTTTTAACCATGTACACTTGTCTTCCTGGCTGCAAGGAAAATGAACCTGAAGAATGTAAAGGAAGTTCTTTGCCATCAGTTGACTGCTTGGATAAACGTAATCAAGTTCCAAAATGGTGCCTGGGAGTTCTTCTGAGGAGTGGGAGGCATGCACATGAAAGGGCTGTGCCACTGTAAAACCCAGGATGTCCGTCTCCAGAAGAAATGCAGGCAGAAATTTTAACCACTTTTAGATTTGTTCAGGCTGTGGATAAACTGTTTTATATCGGGTTGTGTGGACTTCACATGCGCATGCCAACAGCTTCAATGAGCCTTCCAGCACGGCACATGCCCAGTCACACTTGCCCTTGGGTGAGTGCTGGACTCTGGCCATCAAAACCATGGGGTTCCATCCTCACTCTCTCTCCCTCCCACACACCACAAAGGCGCTGCCATCAGGCTTTAAAACACCTTTAAAACCCCAGTGTTAAGAGTGCTGAGTGATGTACAGCTGCTGCGCAGGGCTGCAGCCCTGTGGAGGGGCCATATCACAGTGGATGGGACCAAAACTGAGAAAAAACTTGGCAGCAAGCTGAGTGTTTAATCTGGGGAGTGGAATCAGTCCCAAGAAAGGCATAGTTTGACAGGGACATTCATGCAGCTTTATGTGTAAAAATTCTGTTTTGATTCACAGCTATTTTGAGCTACAAAGATTTTATAAATTATATATAAATGCTGCACAGGTATTTTTATAGTATTAACCTGCATGTGATTCGTGAAATAAATGCAAACTGTATTTGGTTCAAATTTTAAAATATACCTATTTTGCAGAGTTTGGTGTTTGTCTGTTCATTTTGTGTCCTCTATTGCTACTTGTAAATGACTGATGTGAGGGGAATGAGTCACAGTTTAAAGAGATTCCCAAGTGCAACCATGCACCTCTCTTCCCAAGCTGTCCCGCTTGTGGCCCCTTGTCTCCTGTTCAGTCCAGCTCAGAGTTTTGGCTCCTACAGCAAGATCCTGCTTTTTTTAAAACATAAAAAAAAAAGACTGCTAATCTACTAATAATTATTTGTTACAATCTTTGCAAATGGAAATGACTGAGTTGCCTGTTATTAGTGATAAGGGATGTTTGGGCAGTGGAATCTTCTTCACCTGCGATATCTACCTCTAATAGACTAAAAAGTTAATAGGAAGCCAATTTAAGTTAACATGTGCAATTATAGTGTGACAACCCATGAACTGAAGAATATTTTGCATTCATTGAGCAGCCCAACAAGGTTTTGTGGCCAAGGATGTGTATTTGAAACCAGGTAGAGCCATGTCCTCCCCTCAGCATCGTGCCCTGCCTGGAAGTGGCATGGCCCTGGGCCCCAAGTGGCCACAGCTGATCAGGGTGAGCCCAATTGCTGCAACATCCATGGGTCACCTGGGCCAGGCACAGGTTTCAGCTGGGCTCTGTGTTGTGTCTGTGCTTGTGGGATGCTCATGGGACCACAGCCATTCTCACAGAGCCAGGCTTGGAGAGGCAAGTCCTCTAACAAGGTAAGATACTTCACCCTTTCTGTATTTCATTAACCAGGTCCTCATGGCAAAACCATGTGTGTCTTTGCTGTCTGTGGAAATGCTCCCCACCCCTTCATCCCTGCAGCGTGTGTGCCTCTGCATTTCCAGTGTGGTGGTAGAAAATGAGTTTTTGTGGTGGGTTTGCTGGTCATGTTCTGTTCTCAGCAACACAAAGTCACCAGCTGAATCCTCTGGAGTAGGCATGCTCAGATTTTAGAGTAAAACACTGTGTTTGATGAGAACGGGATAGGAGGTAACTTCCAGAGCATCAGCCTTGGAGCCTGGTCTGTTGTCTTCTGTCTGTCCTGGTCCAGTGCTACAGGTCTCCATCCTGTGGCTGCCTACAGCTGGAGGGGTGGTGTAAGGCAATCTGTTTCTAAGTTTCCTTCGATATTCTGTCAAGAGGGATGTAGCAGGCACCTCGCCCTTAGCTTAGTCCACTCTGTCCCGCCTTGAGGCTACCTGCTGAAATGCTCACTTTGCAAATCACCTTCTGGTTGTGTGGTGCCAACCCAGCCTTCCTCCTGTCGTGAGGCATCTCTGTGTGACAGCCTCTCAGTGCAGAACCAGCTACTCTGCCAGAAGCCAAATGGTATTGGACCTTTTGGCAGGGATTAAAATTCAAAGCAGCAAGCACTGAATTTTCCTGCTTTAATTTTCCAGCAGTAACTTTGTCATGACCCCAGTCTCCTAATCCATCCAAATTTCTATGCAAAATCACCAGCAAGCTTGCGCCTTGCTTTTCTGGATACAGGGGATGTAATTTAGGGGATAGAATACAACGGTCTGAGTTTCAGTTTTGACCCTTCTAATCTGTGCTACAAGTAGAAGTTAGGAAATGCGAGTACCTCTCTGCACAGGGTGGAAGTGCAGTTCAGTAGTGTATGTATGGGATCTTGCACATGTGAAGGAAGGTCCTCGCTTGCTGCCAGCCAGCTCCAGCTCCTGTTCCTGCCGGAGCACATCTGCTGGGCAGAGCACTTCCCCTGTCATCTGCTGGGGCTGGCAGTGATGGCCAGCCTGCCCACTGTCCCACTGCCTCCCTGCTGCTGCCCCGCTCGCCCGGCTGCCCTCGCACCGGGCTCGGTTTCGAGGTCACCGGGCGGTCAGAGGTGTCGCGTGTGAGAGGCCGTGACCCCCCAGCAGCCTCCTGGCAGCGCCCGGTACTTTTGCTCAGCCTATTCCATACTCACCTGCCAAACCGAGAATGATTTGAATTGCAAGCAAGCACAATGCCAACACAGAGATGGAAACAGTCCCAAGTGTCACCTTTACATAAACACTCTTGTGCAATAGTAAGGGTGACCTGTGAGCGCAGGGGCCTGTGCTGGGAGCTACAGCCAGGCTGTCTCAGGGTTCTGCTCCTTCAGAAAATCACCTTTACAGCTCCAAAGCACAGCAAGAACAAACCCAGAGGTGCTCGTGTCCAGCAGAATGGAACCCAGCAGTCACCTAGACAGCACCCTAAACCAGCTTTGACCTCTCTGTCACCAGCTCTCCAGCCTTTTGTGCTCGTGTTCAGATCCCCAGCGATCACCCAGTACGCACAGGCAGCAGGAGCAGGGCAAAAGTAATCCATAATTCGGGACCAGTAGTGAAAAATCCCACTTGCAACTCTTCTTTAAAAAGAAAATCCAAGTTCAAAAGGTGTTAAAAAATTGCTCAGAAACCACCACCAGCAGCAGCAATTTCCTTTGCCAGAGATCATGGCTATAGCAAAGGGTAAAAGCAAATCTCAATGCTCACAGTGGCTCGCTCTAGCATCAAGCTGGGTGATAGCTACCTCAAGTTCTGCATACAGCTATGGGCAGGCTGTAAATACCAGATAATTGGTTTGGAGCTGTGAAAGACAAAGCCTTGCAATAAATACGCCAGACTTATATGAAGTGCCCCACTCATCAGGAATCACGGTTAATCCTGAGCACAGCACTACAGCAAAGCTTGAATTTCATTGCTACAGCAGCCCCTGCAAGGCTGCCGGCACCACAGTTAGCTGGGGGGGCCAGGGGCTCCAAATGGGTTTTTAAACCTTTATCTTGATTCTCATCCTCCACCTTTAGCAAGTAATGGTACTTACCTGGGACAGAGGTAGTGTCCCGTTTGTGGTGCACTTAGCTGCCAATGAATGGGCAAATGGTTTGAAAAAAGAAGCGATCCCTAAAAGCCTCTGCAACACAAACCATTGCAACACATGCCACTGCAGCTCAAGCCCTTAGTCCCAGCCTAATCTGGTCTTTAAACTCAAAGGACAGTAAATTCACGGGAGAATTGGGACACCCAAAGAGTCAGAAAATCTTGTGTAGAGAAACATATTTAGTGCACGCAAATATGCCTGCACTCTGCTGCAATGCAAATCTGCCTTATTGTCGTCCTAATCCCCGTGCATGACACACCAATAAACAGGGGGGGTTAATACTTACCATCTGCGTTACAGATTGCTTCCCACACTGCGAGCTTGCTTGGTTACAGTTGTGTAGGCACCACGGAGAGATATATCCTGCAAACGGCAAGCTGGCTAATCCCCTGGGAGATTTAAAATGTGAGCTGCAGTTTTCTCACTCTCCGTGGGCACTGGAGCCAGTCGTGCAACGTATGGCAATAGCTATATTCTCATTTCACGTCTGTCATGCAGAGATAATTAAAATCTACACTTCCATCTGAGGGGAACCGTAGGGTTTCCAGATGAGTAACTGTAGTGCATTTTTCATACTGGATTAGCACTCACACCAAAAAGCCTTGCCTGTTGCCCTCCCACCTGTTAAGATTATTGACGGGGCTGCATTGAAAAGCCCTCGTGGGTCCAGTGATATGGGTGTGTGCAGGCATGCAGCTTGTAAAACTGTGAGCTTACCTCACCTTCACCATTGCACATCCCTCTGCTCAGTGAGGCAGTCATTCTAACACCCTTCTCCAGCATCTCCCAGATACCCACTTTTGGACAGTCCCCTCATGGGATCAGGGGCTATCTGGCTCTCCCAATGGAAATGAGCCACAGCGTACAGATCTAACATAAAATACTGCCTATTGTTAGCCTGCAACCATTAGCAGTGGTTATAATATTGCATAGGAGGGACAGCCAACTTCACAAGCCAGAGAGTAAAGAGCTGCCTCAACATACTGAGCTGACCACCCACTTGGTGACATTCCTGCAGAAAGGCTGGATCGGGGATTGCTGTGCTGGATGGAGCTTCTCATTTTCCCAGAGAGCCGAGGCACAATGCGCCAGGCTGTGGCATAACTGCTGCCAGAAAGCCACCTAGAAGGAAAAGCCTGACCCATGAGAGGTTCTCATGTATTGGCAGGGGCAAAACTTCAAGAGAAGTAATCCTATCCCAAAGCTGCGTGGTCCCCGTGCAGCTGGGGTCCAGAAAGCCACCGGCGGGGTGTGAGTGCAGCGGGCCCACGCTGACTTCTGCAGACAAACATGCCAGCCCCACAAGGACAAAGGCTTTGATAGTGCTCTGCTCCTCATGCAAAAAGACCGCGGGCATATGCTCTTAAATGCACTTCCCCAATTTGGTTTGGAGCTTCAAAAACCGCTAGGCTTACATCAACCATGAAAAAATTTAATTCCACCCCCTCTCCTTTCTGAATTTAGAATGATAAAGGATCAACAGTTATGTCTGGAGTAGGGGAGCAGATATTACACACATCTTGCTTACAAAATAGCTCTGGTTTTCATGAAACAAGTTTATTTTCCTCCCCCAGCCATTGATGAGCACATGACAACCGTACAGAATAAAAGCTCAACTCCTTAGTTCTGCTCACATTCACTCAACATTTGCTCTAATCAATTATCTTATTTCATGCAATAAGAAAAGAATGAGATTCCTGTTATGCAGCCATAATCAGTTACAGTATGAAGCTGTGTCTGTGGAACATTTCTGATTTTGAAAACTAATCATGTGCTCTGCCACTACATTTCTCTTGAAAAACACTGGGCTTTGACCCAACTTGTTTCTTCCCCCCTGCCCTTTAAAAACATTGATGGCACAGCCTAGTCCGAGATGCCACATTCTTTCCCTGCAGAAGCCAGCCAGATTGACTGTAAGGAACACATTTACTCAGGGAGACAGGGTCTGTTTTTCTAGTTTATTGGAACATAAAAGCACAAGCCGATGTCCCCTGGGAGGGAGACAAAAGACCAGAGGGTGCTGCATGTGACAGTGGACAGCTGCCGGAGGATAAAAGTCATGTCTTCACACGAAGGGCTCAATATTGATCTCCAGGGCAGAGCATGGCATGGTGAGCTCAAACTTGGTGATA